TATAAAGAGTACAAATGTGCGTCACAATAACTGAGGCGGTTAAAAGTAGTTAGTAAGTAAATATTTTAAATATTCCACCAAAAAGGGTTTGAGAATTGGAGATCTTGTACCCCTTGTGACACACTGACGAGTAGTATGCAAGGAAGCCGAAAATAGGCGAATAATACTAAGCAATACAAGAAACCTTACAAGAAATGTTACAATAATCTAGCGACAATGGGTAGAAAAGCGATGAATAACTATAAAATGATCGAAAACCAACGAATATATGAAAGGGAAAACCCAAAAAAATCGGATAATACTAAGCAATACAACGAACGCTACAGAAAATGCAATAATCTATTAAAAATAGCCCCAACCAGTAAGAAAAACAATAAAATAACGGATAACGACAAACCGCGACCGGTGTACCGCAGGCGTACTCCTGCGGTACATGGGTGAACGGACCAATAACTCCATTCTGTCCACATGTACCAATAAGCACTTTATTCACTGCGTGTCTGACCTTTTATGAGTAAGAAAACGATAAACGTTGAATATAAGTGTATTAATAACAATAATTACGACTTGTTTAATGGATAAGGCCGTGTAAGATGCGTGATTGGGAATGGCCGGCTGAGCATGGTCTGTGGTTCTTGTCTTGAATGAATTCCGGACCATCAATTATTCATAATGTACAACTTGAGTTAACAATAGATTGAGGACTTCCGATCATCATTTGAGTTTCCAAGAGTAGCAATATGACGATAGAGATAGTCAAATCTCAAACGATGACGAGTGAAAAACGAATGGCCTTTCTCGATTTTGAATTCATTTCCGAAGATCGACAGCTTATGACTTGATGCTCTGTATTGATTCGAATCAGTGAGATTCTCGATCAACATGAAAACGGTTTCTATCCCACTCATGGAAATGCATAGATACATGTGGATAATACACGGGGAAATACATGAAAATGTTTCTCCTGGGATCGAGGTGAGACAGAGTTAAGGAAGAAAGTAATACTACTGTTCATAAAAGTCTGAATGTATCAAAAAAGAAAATGTGGAACAAATTGTTGGCTTGGTTTTTGTTGTTGTCGTCGTCTTTATTGGTTTGTTACAAATATCTACTTTCTATTACCGAACGGAAATTAGTAATGAGTGGTGACACCGTACAAGCAATCTCAAATGCATTGAATTTTTTCGGCTTCTTGTGGATAGAAAAATTGTTGTTGATTATAATGGGGGTAGTATATCTGTTGGAGTTGTTGTTGTTGTTGTTGCTGCTGCTGCTGCTGCTCTTGTACAAGGTTACTTTTAACCAATGGAACTTTATTTACAGAGAAGGGGGATAAATGGTCGACGACTGTTGAACCGAAATGATCCGATTTGATGCATCCGATCCCGTTCTGGTCGGTTTGCCATGGTAAGGTTTGATGCATATCCGTATTGGTGAATGCGTCCGTATTCGTTAGAAGCATGGTCGGTCGGACAATCTGGGCTTTTCGACCTGAAATAGAATCGAGATTTTGATTGAGTTAATCATTTATTTTCAAACACTGAAGAGAAGAACAGTCAAAATGACGATGAGTTTAGCTCACGAACTTCACTATGCCGTTTTCATCCGGATTTTACTATTTTCAAGCGATTGATTCTATAACAAACCTCACTGTGTGTGATTCTTTGTATACACCGGAGTTAGTGGTTTTGACATTTTGGATAAATCCTATATTTTCCATCGTACAACACCTGAAAGCGCAGTGTCATGCTGCCAGCCTGATTTACATTCATCGTCAGCCAGAGTGCTGTAATGGAACAGTGCGTTTGCTTCATCGTTTCACATCGTCTTGCCTCTCACAACCATGACCTCACAGAGCTAAATTTCCCTCGAACCCTCAGCATTTCCTTTAGATCATTTTCCGCGATTTGCAAAAATAGTAATCCATGAACCTGAGACAAAACTCTCTGATCACCGGTGCGTAGTAATGTTTGCGATACTATTGTTGTTACCTGATGTCCAACCGCTTAGTGGTAGCACTCCAACTGCGCAGAGTAAAAGTCCACTGGGTATTATAAAGTCACGAGGCGAGCGGCTCGGGCTAGCTGGACAAGCGTCCCTTTTTGCAGTTGGTCCACACGATCGATCGTCGGTGGGAGGTGGCTGATTTGTGGCGTTCGTGCAACAGTGTAATTAGAGAAGTCCATCTAATCTGACGGTCAGGCTCGTCGCTGTCACATCTCTCATCTATTCCCACATATTTTTGCACATAGACTGTCAGTGTTTGGAACGGTGGTTTCTTTGTGTTTGAAAGCCAGGATATAACTCGTTTTAGTTCAAATACGAAAAGAAACATGATTTGATGAAACGTACCTGAATTCGGTTGATCGTCTTCTTCGCTTCCACCACGACCCGAGTCCGAAGTGGGCTGTTCCTCCAGTCCACTTTCTGTGGATCTATTCACTGTCTGCCGCCAGGAATTAGTGATTGCGTACTGCGGGAAACTCTGGAAGCAATCAGAAACGCAAACAAACATAACTCCCACTTGGAATGTCGCGGATTTCATGTTTTCATCGAGTGTTTCTGTTTGGAATCATGTTCCGCGATGTTCATGCAACTCACCGTTTCACTTAATTTGTTAAGTACTCTCAGATCTGGCCCTAATTCACGCATGGATTCCTCAAAACTTATCGAAGTCACACTCGATGGATTCGTACGGCTGATGAGACCCAACCAGGTCGAAACACCTGTCCAGTGCTTCCTAGCTTTTTAGTCCACGCTTCACTTGCTATATACACGACGAATTCACCTTTGAAGTTGAATCAAATCCTCCATTACTCACTTGACATCTAGTTTCTGTACACAAATCCCCGGTGTACACGTGTACTGTGATTTCATGGAAGTTTACGTTCCAAACGGTTTTATTTCCCGTCAGTGCCGCACACATGGTCAATAGCAAACTAAACCCAGAATCATTTAGTGAGCCTTTTATTTTATTCGTTAATAGCCATCTATTCTATACAAAAATAATAGGGAATAGAAAGTAGTTTGCAGAAGTGGCGTCCATAAAACTATAGATTAACGCGTCCCTTGGACCATATATTGTTGGACAAAAGGAATGGCAGTCCCACTTGACCGAGATAAGTCACATTAAACGAAACACCTAAAATCCAGACACCCCAATAACTTGTGGTTAACAGAGAAAAAAGTTTATTATTATTTATTATTTTATTAGTGTGTATGAGAACCGCTTGTGTTTGGGGTGACACCACACATTCGATGTAACCTATGGATTAGTAATCTATCGTTCATATCTAAAATCTCACTTCAATACGCCTCGCGATATGATACCAATGTGTTCCACATCCGTACCATTCATGCAGCTTCCACCCGAGGCGCGTCTTTTAATGAAAGTCGATGATTCAAGGATTCTGCTGATCATCGTACATTTAGAGAATTTTCATCCGCACTCATCTTATTTTACGCTCTGGACCGAGAAAGGCACATTCCTCTTTCGGGAATGGTGATCCTCCCTTGAAGCCCTCCGCCTGTTACGAAAGGCCAAACACTATAAGAGAATGTGCCGATTTCCTTGTGTTCGTTTATGCACAAGGAAACCGTAGATAGATGTTTGCTAGTGCCTTCGACATCCAAACCGCATAGATATCCCGACTTCCGCAAATCTATTATTATTTCAAACGTAAAGAATTACAGAGAACTGGCAAATGTGCCCGAACATATGAACAAAATGAAATCTGTCGAATGTGTTCATAGGTTGTGTGGGCATGTTACTTCCCGGTTGCCCTGATCGAAGAATGGTGTATATCTGCAATCTGCCAAAGAACTGAATATTCTTTTACATTCATTCCGAACTGAAAAGCTGCGGATGTCCAACACTTGTTTATCCCAATGTGTGACTGGAGATCAACTGTCATTCATGAGTGCAATTCACAAAAGGTATTAGAGATCAACTGATTGCCGTTTACGAAAATCAGATCGTTTCTTTCAACTTGGGGTATTGTGAAAGTAGTTATATGCAACTAGATAGACTGGAGCATGATTTGTTCCAGTGGAATCAGGATTCACGAGACTCAACAATAGTGGTTTACTACTCTCTGGTCTCCATCATTTACCGAGATTCGTGCACAAACATACCGCTGCCTTACAGTTTGCACTCGACAGTACAAATAAGTAAGTCGACTACCGCAGAGAGCGTTTCTAAACTCCCATGAAACTTCATGATCTTCAGGAAGCCGGGTTATCTTCTCCAAGATCAATTAATTACATATTACAACAATGAGAACAATACTACTAAACATAAATTAGTAGTTGAATTAGTTAGGTTTTTAAACTTGCTGAGCTAAATGACAACTCCAAAGGCCCAGCTGCGAGTAGGACAATTTTGTCTTGAGCATTACGTCAAATCTGTGGTACGAGATTGCTCTCTCTCTCTCTCTCATTCTTCCATTCTGTCCATCGTGATAAATTTGCGCATAGTGCAAGAATATCTTTTCATGTTTCAGTTACACTCACACTAGTTAGATTGGGCTCGTTCGAACAAAATAGTGAAACATCGTGTACACCCGATCCATCGTACGGATGGTGAGGATGTTGATATATATGTGGAAGCCCACCGCCGGCAGCATCGGTACCATTACGTCCAGGTTGCCAGTCTTCTAACAACATGGACAAATTGAGTCCTGCAGGCGGACCGGTATAGTGTGTTCCGTTAGGTTGAATCATGTGACTCAAATCATGAGGGTTGTGGTGTTGGTGGTGGTGCATGTAGCTCCCATTTGTACCGTTCCGATTCTCTGGCGGGACGATTTCCGGAGGCCCAACAACTGACCCACCGGTACCGTTATACGCTGTTCGTCGACGTCGACCACGTCTACAACACAATAGGCCATGACTGCGGCGACGGCGGCGGCGGTTTTTCGACTTCAGGACGCATGCAATTGCAATAATTAGAATTGCTGCTAAAAGACCGGAAATGCTTGCGAGCAGACTGATCATGACCGTGTTTCGTGGACCACCAAAACTCCACAAACGGAAGGCGTAACTGGTCCCGTTGCTCGGATAGTAGTTTGAAGCATGTAAATTTTTCGAATACAATTCACCCATGGGCAAGTCCACGATCGACAACACTAGTATCTGAAAGTCAACCAGAATAGCCATAATAAGTGTGAATATATGTAATGATTCAAGAGAGATAAAAATTATTTCATTGAATCACTGGCTCAAAACCTACGAATAACCTTAGGGACCTGATATGGAACAGGTTAAATGCATAGTAAAGACACGAGCGCAGCCATTTTTAATTGAGTGTGAGTCTTGTGCATGTCTCACTGAACCTTTTGGTTCATGGTAACGTTTTGTATTTTCCCTGTCTTGCAGATGGTTTGGAGGCCTCTCCAAGGAGAAACTATTGTGACAAGCGTGTCCTACCTGTCGATTTAGAGTGTCTGTGAATGGCCAGGGATTGTGCAACCTTTTTCGGACGACGCTAGTTGTATAAGAACTCGGACTGTATTGCCTGGAGTCAACCCCCCACCCAGTGTGTCGATTGGATTCAGAACTGGGGTCCGCTCCTTATACTACAAATGCACACCCGCATCCAAGCTCACTTGAATTGTTCGTGACTGTCCCGAGTAAGATAATATTTGCTAAAACCGTAACTTTCATGCGTCTCGTTGTTTCCCGGGATCAAGTGCAAACAGAACCTGAACACAAAACAGTGATCAATCGTAATTGGTGCAGGCAAATGAAAAATCAAATATTTATCCTCCATATATTATAAGTCGGTAAAATAACAACCAACAGAGAAAATAAGTCTGCCACTCGCTGAGACTTATTCCAACAGGATACATGCATGACGTTTTGGAAACAATAAAAACAACAACAGTAACAACTCTCTCATCGACTGCTCAGTGATTTACCGCTTGGCACGCTCGCTTTTCTTTTGTGCTGTTCCATTTACTGGTGAGTACGATTTCAAAACAGTCGTGCTTGGGGATGCTTCCTCCCTTCACTTTTCCGATACTGTGCATTCCTCTGTCCAGTTCCTTGAGCGGTTTAAACTGTTTTGATGTGTTGAGGTGAAAAATGTCTAATCGGACGACGCGTTGATTGGTTGGTGAGGTATATCCCCAAAGTTACGAGAATGTGAGTTATAAGCTTAACTTAATCGTTTCGCGGAATTTAGAACAAATCGGATGATCAGCTTGTTATTTTCAAACACATCATATTCAGGAGTGGATATCGCGGTAGACGGGTGTCACCACCACAAATGAACTGCGTTTATAGTTTCTGTGGGGGAAACCCTAATCACTACCTTCGCGTGACATTGTTTTTTTTCATCTAAGTGAAACGGTGAAAAATCATTCTCTGGGGCAATCACCAATAGGGTAGTCAGGAACAGCTAGTTCTTCTAAGAAAACTTACTAACCTCGGATTCAAACCAATTATGAGGAGTTGCTCGAGTTGCAACGAGGATTGATAGGTGCACGATCACTGGTTTCTTTGCGCAATGGAATGTATTGGGCTGCATGGAAATAGCAGCCTCGGCCAATGAGACAACAGTCTTCAAAGGATCGTGGACTTGAAGCACCAATCCGCCGAGGGAGCACTGTNACTTCTTACTATACTCGCTATTATCATCTGGAAGCGTTAAGCCGGTATGTATTTCGTGTTTTAGAGGACTGATGAAAGATATTCAACGGCTGACGGTGTTAATGCCACGAAACAGGAATACAACTCATCTAACCAGACGTACCTTACTGTCTGTTCTGGCATCCGACTGACCTCCGTCCACCGCACGCACATGAAAATATCTCATGCCCAAATCACTTGACGACATGAAACGTTGCAATACGATATCTCCTTCTTGAGGATCAATTTGGAGTAACGGTTTTTGGCTTTGCGCACTGATTGGATGTGGTCCATTCAGTTCCTCCAAGTAGTACATCACACGTCCGTTCGAACCGGCGTCCGGATCTTCAGCTCGGATCTTAGTGACAACAAAACCGGGTTGCTCGTTCACAGATAACTGAACGGTCGGTTCGGGTTTACTGTCCGGTGTGATCTGATCTAAATTGAATGTTTTGATGACAAATTCATCCGGTTCGGAAGAATTCGGTAAGAATTGTCCAGCTAAGTTGGAAGAAGACAGAACAAATCCGGAAAGATCATCATACTGTGGATTATAGTGAATACAACTTCAATTATCGTTGTGAAGCTCACAATGCATGCATGCATGATAACTGAGAATGTGAGGTGAACAGGGACTAGGTCACTTTCGATCGAGGGGAAAAGAAAGCGAACCCCTACGGTCAGCACAAAATACCTAGTTATGCATACACACTTTTTCAAGCATTCTAACTTGATAAAAATGCGTCTTTAACTTCTTCCTATTCACTGACATATCCTTCAGTGTCTCCAACCAACCAGTTATGCAGTCTTTGGGACCACAACCGGGAGAAAACCTATCTTATTACTCGCTCTGTGCATTTCTTCATATTTTATCACCACGTCATCTGTTGATCTCCACGTGATTTCCCCAAACCCAGAGCGGTCACGGCAAATAAAACGTCGTGCGACAGATGATCGTTAGGTACACATAAAATATAGGGTGGTGATGGTGCAGTGGTTTAGTCGCTGTCACCGGCGTGCCTTGGACCCTATGGTCCTAGGTTCGAGCCCTGCCACCGCCACCCGACTTTGGTGGTAGGCAGCTCTGCTGTCGTCCGGTTCAATACCACACCTAACCTACCGGGGCCTTATGTGGGTCGCCACTCCAAGTTCTGGGGCTTAGGGTTGCCGATTACAACCACTTAACAGTAGGTCCTCGTGACTATGGGGTTTACTCCGTCTGCTGTTCATCACACCTAGGTGTGTAATAAAAAAAACCCGGGCTAACGGAGCCCACCGAGCTGAAATCGACGCGATAGCGAGTTCTTCTTTGATGCACTCCCAATCACCCGACGACCTGCATCTAGGTTACTAACCAACTCACTTCATCCCACCTGAGCCAGACTGCGTAAGCATCAATTATCGAAAATCCGCAACCCATGGATGTTGTTTACTCACAAATTCAAGGTCTCATAACCGTAAAGCACAACAGCCCCAACGCTGGTGCAATATAAACTGCATTTCAAATTCAGTGAAACATTACGTCGTCACCACATGTGTGTACACCATTCGCACGTTGGGAACGCGCGCGTCTGTTTCCATTACTTCCCAAGTGCAAGTAGTAGTTAACTTCAGCCAATTCCTGATCATTTATTTTCAGGACTGGACTACTTGGTACCCAGCCTTGCAATGAATGCAAAGCGCGCATCGAATGCAGGTACACAACTTATCGTCTGTCCACTACGTTTCTTGCGCGTCCTCCATGCATTCGAACAGGTAATAGATATCTTTTATAGACAACTTAGTGCGCTTTTCCGTCTTTTGTCCACGACTAAAAATTGAACAGGACTGGGACCCTTGAGGAACATCGCTGTTGGTTTCGAACGCTCACTGAGTTTACCGTTAAGCTTCACTCTGTCAAAATAATGTGAGTACAGTGGCCTCAGTAGGTTCACATAGTTCAGCGGCATTCCTTTGATAAAAAATTAATCCTTTTAAGCTTCGCGGTCAAATGAAGTAAGTGACCTTTTCGATTGAGTCAATTTATGATGGTACCACGAGACTGGATAAAATGTCTTCCGCCGAGGTGCGGAAGATTAATCAGCTTCTTCTGATGAGCAGGGAAGCCTATCGAAATCATTATTAACAGCATGGGCCATTGGGAGGCGACAGATACGATCAACAGATTTCTAAAGAAATACTTTTTGCGATTATTTGAAAACCAGTGTCATGCTGTCATATTGTGTCTAATCAAACTTTGCAATGGTGCACATTTCACAACTTTTGCCATTGTGGTAATCAGGCGTTGAATCCGTGAGAGGGGTCGTCCGCCCTCTGTGATCGTATTTCTATCTATCACAATGATTGGCATTTGATGCGTGGTAGGCAGCTGCATTGTCGTCTACCGCAGCATCACCCATACATATCCTGCCGTGATTTTCTATCGTTCGATAACCGAAACCCCACTATCGAAAGGTAAATTAATGGAATTATTGGGTCTACCATGTCTTACGCTTTTTCTCAGGCTTATTAGGCTATAGGACGGAATATTATTAGTTCGTCGTCAGAATGTTCTGAGAAAAACAGAACAATAAAATCACCCAGGTCGTCTCACTATCGACTGACTTTAATCCCTTTCAAAGCTCAGCAACCAGCTCATTCTCATACTACTCATTTAAACAAGATAACTGTGCTAACAGCCCATACAGCCCATCTTCTAGAAGAAATATAATTTTCAAATGATTTGGACGGATACTTCGCACGTGTAGTTCAGCTGCCTCTAGAAAGTGGCTGTTTTGTACTGTACAAATGCCAGTAAACATGTTACAGCTAAATGTGAGACCGTTGTATAAATTAGGCTGAACCACATCGAAGAAGCGGTTTGTGATTCGCGCAAACACTCTGCAGCCACAGGTGCCACCACACAGCACCAAATACGAGCAAACTGTTGGTTTGCTAGCACGAGCCAGTGTGTCATAATTCACACGGACCAATGAAATGCACGCAATCAATTCAATACTGAATACGCATCGGTCAGCCGCAATCCACCTCAGACATTGCAATAGACCATGTTATCCCGTGTCCCAATTCCCTGGCCCTGTGTTATATCGCCATGCAACTGTTGGACACACGCAAGCAGGACGGGACGGAGGATACTAAGTAATGTTAGCTTTATCCAGTTGGTTCTGTTTCCAACGGAATAATCTTTCCTAGAAGTTTCCCTCGTAGTTTAATAAAGACGGCAATAAAAGTCCGTTCTATTTGCCCGCCTTTGACTTTGATCGCTGGAGGCAGTCGCTTTTGCATGGGGTCCACTAAGTCGACTGTCTAGCAGGATTTACTAGTTTCCTCTAACACATACCAGAAGACCGATCAACTGGACAGTTTTCGGCACTGCATAACTATTTCTAAATCATAGCAACAATTCGAATTCATTGACAAAATTCAGGACCGAACCCGGTCGATTCATCTTATGAAAAACACCTTTGCCATTCTCAGCTCCAGATATTACATTTCACCTCGACTGGGAACGACAAGTTGGCAGACAAAATGTCCAATTTAATGGGCAGATGTTAATATGATTACTTAATCTAAACAACAGAGATCATCAGGCAGATCTATCAGTTCGCTAAGGATTCTACATGTTTTCACTGAAAACCTGACCACCTAGGCTGTTCTCAATTATCCTGCATGCATACATTCGTTAAGCACTCAAAAACTGTTGCTTATTCAAACCTGAAATGTAAATAATTCAATGGCTAAATTGAATATTTTGCGTTTTGTTCCCGGGTGATTTCACTGATATCAGTATTTGCGTTTCGATGTCAATGCATGGCAGACAGTTTGGTTCCCAGGCCAAAGATTCGAGGTATAAGCACCAACAAGGAAACAGTAAATCATCGCTGTTGAGCAGTGCCATCAGGGACCAGAGTGTCCGTCCACTTGTTTCTGTCTATCATTTATTTATCACAAGTCCATGAAGCATATGATGCAGTCAGTGCCTGCTCATCAGCTTTCTCAAGGGCAAGCAATAGCTGTACACAAACTGTGCACAGAGACAGAGGTACAATTTTACACTGTTCACACTTATGTGACTCGCTAATGCACAGTTCTGTAGCATTCAGTAGGTGGGATTCATTTCGCATCCCCCGCGCTTTCCAGACTTTTTTCAACAATCTTATGCTATCCGCACGGGGATGACTTTCTCCAACGATTGATTGAATCAAATCGGGTCTACAGCACAGTATGTGTCCAATATGTTGATCAGCTTAATTGTCATTTGGGAACCATCAAGATCAAAAACAAATGATTTGCCTACTTGTGGTGCAAAAGTGACGGAAATTTGGAATAAAACAAACATGAATGCAATGTTGTGGATGGAGAGTCAGACTGCAAACACCAATTATCGGGCCAATCGCCGGCGGTCTATCCTTTGCACAGTCTCTCTCTCTCTCTCCCGCCCTCACTGTTTGTCCTCTTAAGTCTAATTTGTCATTTTAGATTAATAGAGAAAAGTGAATCACTCGTTCAGATTGCGTCACCGGGACTTCGTGAAGTGTTTTGTTTGCAAACTGCTGATCGTAGATAGGTCAACCGGCTAACGACTCGAATTATGGCAACCAGCCCTGACTGAAAAAAAGATCTATAAGCACTGGTACGAGTGTTTGGACAAACAAACACAGGGAATAACAAGAACAAGAACACACTTCGCTCCGATCATTCCCCCCTCCCGCACCGCTGCCCCTCTGCGTGGACAGTCCGGTTGGGCTTCGTGATCGAACTCAATGTAATGGCCAAGGTGTGAAACATGCGTTCACCACCGGCCTGATAGCTCACAGGACACATATTGTTACGGCCAGTTTCTAGGCTGATGCGGATGTTTTGTTAAATGGTTAAATGGTTACCAGCTTTAGTTAATTTTGACAACGCTAAATGCGGTGAAACTCACAACATGTAACCCCTACTATATGCTTGTATCTTTGTTGTTTTTATGGTGGTGGTGATGGTGGTGATAGTGATTAACTTCTGTTTTTTCAAAGGACGTTGATTCGGAATAGGGATTACACTGTTGTTATGTACGTATCAATGGGCTAACTGAGAATAGAATTTAAGTCGGGTTCAATCCAGTTTGATTGATTAAATCCCAACGTGATTCGTACGTATTTGCTGGACTGATGAATACAAACAGTAGTGTACTATCAGAAACATACCTTTGAATCAGGATGTAAATTAAGTACGTTGTACAGCTCTTTGTACCCGGAGACGTTCTTCGATTACTCTGCAATTCAATATTTCATTGTTAGGCCAGTTACGGTTTGGCTACACAGTGTAGTTCCCGACATGTGAATAGGTACTACTAAAAATGATTATTTACTTTCTGCATATGAGTAATGGAGGTTTTGATTCAATTTCATGGAAGGAATTCTTCGTGTATAGCATAAATGAAGCGTGAACTGAAA